CGGTACAAATATAGAAGTTTTATTAAATGATCTGCCACCAGTTATACATATAAATGTGTTCCGATCAACCGAATGAAAGGGAAGACAAATTTGCTGACATAATATGCAAGGTTGCAATAATTATTAATACATTCTAAGAGCATCTCCAATGTTATAGCTTTGAAAGATAATTATTTTTGACACATGTCAATCAACTATTGTAATGTGAATCCATGTAGGAATAATGTTAAAAGAGTAGAAATTTGAATCAAATTAGTATCTCCAATGCATCAATTTGATAAGAAGTTATTTGTATAGGTGGACCAATTAAAATAATCATTAATACAAGAACAATAAAAATTAAATCAAATACAAAGTGAATTAATTAGTCATCATGTTTAACATGGTGTTATATATTAGAAAGTGTATTCAACATTGTCAACATTAAATGATATCCACCTCATCACGAAAGAGCTCATGACAAGATGCATTGGAGAATAAATTAGTAACACACCTTCAAAAATTGATGATATGGATAAATTTTTATAATGTCAAAAGCCACATTGGAGATGCTCTAAGGTTGAAAATATTGTCAATGTTGGTTACTTTATTCATGTATAGTGTCTTTAAATTAATTGATAATAAGTTCTTCAATATCTTATATTTTGTGATTCCACCAAACTTTTTTGAGATTTTTTTTTTTTTTTTGGATACTGTACTTTTTTTCAATCTTTTTTTCTCTTAGAAAAGGATAATATATGTTTATGATGAGTTTCATCATTCACGCCCAGTGTAAATCGCCTCCTTTGTTACACGTATAACAAATAACTTCACAGTAACAGTGTACATTTCAAAATCAATTCAACAAAAAGGCAAAAAGCCCTCTTTTGAACAAAGACTTTCCACTGAACTCTGCAAGTTCATGTAGTTTGTAAGTTCTGCTCTTGAATCAAAGTTTCAACTCTCTGCGAAAAATAGGACTCCACGCACGTAAATAACGCAAGTCGACAGAGATATTTGTACAGGCAAAAGGAAAATCGAAATTTAAGTTACAGAAATTCTAACCTTCACTGAACTTCCGACCTCCTCTAGCTTTTGTAAAATAGCCAACTCCTCGACTTGTGGGTAAGAATCATGCCCCAGCTGTCTTAATGGTGACGTCTGGAGAAAACCCAAGTAAAAACAGATGTAATCTTACAGAGTTGTGAGTTCGAAAAAAAATATATCATCAATAAAATGCTAGAGATGGAAAAAAATAAAAAAAAAAAACGGGTTTCAACGGGTTATACCGAAGCAACTGAAGGATGATCAGCATTCATGGTTGGATTATCTTGTCCAGATGCCACCTCAGCTCTCATGTTTGCCAGACGAATAAGAACAGCCTGGCAAAATATTATATAATCTTCCATGTAAGTCTTCACCGTAATTATCAATGACAAAACAGAATTTTCCTGTATATTTATTTCATTACCTTCCTGAAAGCATGAGGATTAGCAACACCTAGTATTTGGACATCATCACTTGGTGGCCGTGTCACTCCAATATTCTCTATTCTAATAGAGTATACGCCGTATACGGACTGCAGATATCCTTATAAAGAAGAAATCCATAACAAGAAATGCATGAGTATGTGAGGCCTGTCAAACTCGTTCGGCCCAAAGACTAATTAATTTATTACTGAAGAAACAAATTCTGCAATTAACGTGTAATGTAACTTAAATAGGAAATCGAAAGTCACACTAGACAAAAAGAAAGAAATGAAGAAAAAAAGTGACACAAGGTAAACACAGAATTTAGTTAAAATCATCAGTGGCGTTTTCCACTGAATGGAGCTTTTTGTTCAGATTCAGATACAAAACTAATGAAGCATTTTGCGTTATTGAGGAACACCGAAGATGCTCTGGATAAAACGTTCCTAACAAAACGACACTAAAATTTTTCTTCGGTGTTCTTCAGTTGATCATCTCGAGTACTCAATCTAGCTATGTTTGGTAAAGAAATTATAAAATTATAAGAGGGTGAAATTTCCAATAACTAAAGACCCCCATATTTTTCACAGTACCTCCCAAATCGAAAGAAAAAGGAAAGGGAAAAATGCCAAAGAATTAAACCAACTGAGAAAATAACAGCTTGTAAAAGCAGTTGTGCAGTATTTACCCTGTTCTATTAAAACATTAGCCACTGATGGCAGCAAGATGTGATTCTCCTTCTTCAAAACTCCGAAACACGGAAAAGGCATGGGCCTTCTCACCTGGAGCCACAGCTCGACAAACTCTTAGTAATCAAAACCGACGAAAAAACAAGTTATTAAACAAATTAAGACGTGCCAAACGGGAAACTTTCCCCTTCATTCTACAATACCATCAATCCAGCTGAGTCAATATGGACACTATATTAGACAACAGCCTCAAAACAATAACCCATCAGCTAGCTTACGCTCCTCAATTTTCTCGATTCAATTGGGATCGCTCACAAAAAAACATCAGATCATGAAAAACATCAGCTCAAGAAAACGAGTAAACAATAACAAACCGGATATTGTTTATAAAAAGCCACTGGAAACCACCAGCATCCCGACAATATTAGAACTGCCTCAAACAATAACCCAGTCAGCTAGCTTATACCCCTCGCCCTCAATCTTCTCGATTGAATTTCGGAAAGCTTACAGAAACTTCAGCTTATCAGAACGAGTAAACAGTCACAAATTGAACATTATCTTTAAAATCCACCAACAGGCAGCATCACAACAATACCGTCAACATATCAACAAAACAAGACAGAATCACCAAACGGGAACAATCAGAAAACAGCGATGATAACAAGATGATACCAAAAGGATTAACCTTGTAAACAATGGAATTGGGCGTAATGTAGAGCCTTCGCGAGCGGATGTCTCTGCGCAGAACATACCTCCGCACGGGCAGATAAACCAGCATGAACAAGCCGATGCCCCACGCCAGGATCAGAAGCAGCGAGTAAGAAACCCACCGCGCCGTCTGGTATTTGACGAATTTCTCCTCCGATTCGGCAAACGACGCCGCATAGAGGGCCGGCTCTTCGTCTTCGTCCTCGTCGCTGTCGGTGAGGTGGCGGTCGTGGGCCGGGTCGGGATCCGAGCCGCCGCCTAGCAACAAGCCGCGCTCGAGGCGGTCCGTTTCCGCCGAACGGTCGTCGTGTTCCATGAAAATCTCGATACTGAATGGGGATGATTGCAGGTTGTTGATGGCCTGATACTCATTTATCTGTTTTCTCACCTAAGATTAATAATGTAATTAAAATTGGTTTTTGTACAAATTGGCATTTTTTTATTTCCCGCAAGTGTAAGAATTTAGAAAATTAACGAGAAGTTAATTATAAATTATACGAGAAGGGATAAGCTCAATTGCCACCACTATTGATTTCTTTTTAATTAAAAAAATAAATAAAATAAAAAATTACAAATTAAAAATAAGTTGAAGTGTGGGAAAAAAAAATTTCGACTTTAGATAGCGTAGAGTTGGAAAGAAATGTTGAGAATGATAAAGATCGTGTATTGAATGCGTGAAAAATGTAAAAAAAATGTGTAACCCCCACTAATGATCATTGATCGACACGAGAGATTTTGCTCGGCAACGAGCTTTTTTCTTATTTTTTATTCATAATAATCAACACAATGATAGTTCAGAGTTTTTAATGGAAGGAAAACCGAAAATGCAAACATCCAAAGATCCTAAAGAGAGTTTCAAATTTAAATGGAACTGTTCCTGCTCATGCCATGAGCTGCTGATCATGTCCAGGTACTGAATGGGGCCTACTGCATGTGGGCTTGTTACGCCTGGGCCTGTTGGGCCGTGGAGCGAGCCCTGCTCCTGCTGCGGTATGTTGGTCCGTTTTCCTTGTGCGGCTCAGTAACAGCAGCCAGCAGGTGGTGATTTGGATACAATTTACTTTTCTTTAACCAAAGAACGTTTTTTAAAACTCAAACCTCCTGAAGATAATTTCCAACTTTTATAAAACTGAATGAACTGCATTTTAGACAAAGATGAATGAAAGCTCACCAGAGAATGACCAAACTTTTAAAAAATAAAACTGAGTCTTCTTTCCCACTTCTGAATTCGCTGGACTACATACATTAATAGTAGGAATCTCATTAATCCTTATGCATGTAGTCATGGCTATAGGCCAAACCGGCCCGCCGAACCAGCCCTTTTGCCTAAGCCGGTTTAGGTTCAATCATTTATACAAATTGAACCAGCCATTCCAGTTCGGAATCGAAGCAGCCGGTTTGTTTTTTTATTGTATGTTTTAATTATTTTTTATTATTTTTCTAATAAAAGAAATCGGCCTGGCATGAACCGCCACGTATATATTATCGGGCCAGTTCAAGGCCCTCCAAAAACCGGGAAATGGCCACGTCTATGCATGTCAATGAGACCTTTTGACATTAACAGAGTCATAGTTACCCCTGCAGAAAATGGCTAGCAATGCTTGAATAAACACAAAGAAACAGCACACTGAAACAAACTGGCTATATACACCGAAATACACTAGCAAACATCACCCGCCAAAGTTCCTAATTTTACAGGAAATAACAAGTAGTGAAATACAAACAGAGAAAATCCTAGAAATGAGCAGTCAAAGTTCAAACATTGTACTGAAAATACAAAATAACAAGTGCAAACCGGATCAAATCCCTGATATCGCCAGTCAAGTTCTCACTTTATACAGAAAAATAATAAGTGCAGAGCAAATCCTAGAGAGTTCACAAGTCAATTTCCTACATTGTACTGGAAATAACAAAAGCAACTACGACCAGAGAGAATCCAGAATACCGTTTGGAAAATACTTGAAGCTCCCAAAACCCAAAACTCTCGTGAAACCCCCAACATATTAAACAGCATCACATATTGGGCCGACAAACGTCTGTCCACCCAGCTGCTTGCTCGGGGCCTGACCTCCGGAACCCTTTTCTTGTTGCTCGTAAACACATGATTTCCCCTGCAGGTTTTGTCAAGGGAGAACATCAAAATAAACCCCAAAAGGCAAAACCTCTCCACATATAAGTACAAACACAGAACACCAAAAATAAACCCAAAACCCCTCCGTATATATAGAGCATCATCAAAATGATTCCCCAAACCCCTCCAGAAAATCAAAATTTTCACATATATACTGCAAATTTATTGGAGAACATCAAAAATAACACGCACACAAACGGATACGTTACTCAAGCAGTCCTCCATTTGTTAACCCCTCCATATATAATTATATACAGAGCATCAAGATGAGTTCACATATATACTGCAAATTTATCATAAAAAATCACATGCACACATGCGGATACCTTATGCAACCCACTGAGGAAAAAGTTCAGTACCCTGCCCCAGACATCAGCAATGGCATCCTTGACCCGCCACACAACCTCCGGAAACTCAGGCACCTTCATTTTGGCTTCAAAATCCCGAACACTCTCGATACTTGGACTTGAATAAAAAAAGTAAAACGCCATTACCAACCCGAAGGGCACTTGTGACTTGTTGACGAGAAATAGCAATGGGCTCACTACAACTACGAGACAGGTATTGGCCATGTCGAAATGTTTGATAGATACCACGCCCGAATTGACTATGCCCATAAGGTGCACGAAAATGAGAATGGACATGACTAATTCCCAGCCATCCTCCGAGTAGAGGGCCAACCCAAGGGGCACAGAGAAAAACAGCCCGTCGAGTACTATCCCGACAATTTCTCCCACCTCGATTTTCCGAATGTGGTGTGTAAACGGCAGCAGGAGGAGGATGAAGATGTATGCGGAGGTGCTTGTTACCACTTTCAGCAGCTTCAACGGGTTAATTTCACCATGGGGAGCATCCCACGCGAGCTGAACACCGACCAGAGCAAGGAAAGAGAGTGAAGCCGTGATACTCCAGCGCAGCCTCCTGCTGATTTCACTACAAACGAAGAAATAGAGGAGAAATTAAGCAGCTGGAAAATAAAGGCGACGGCGAAATTCGAACCGCTTACCTTCGCTCAGCCGCGGCTAGGGTTCCTGCTGCTAAGGGAGGAGGCGGCGGGATTTGTTTGCTCGAAGGATTCAGCAGCGGCGGAGAGACACGGAGGACGTCGGATTCGGCCGGTGTTTGTTCGGGGCTCGGCAGTGGTCCTTCAGCCGCCGGTAGCGAGCTGTTAGGGTTCTCCAGTGCGGAGAGCTTGGATTCGTTAGGCGCGAGCTCAGGGTCGCCGCTGGCGGTGGGCGGTGCGTCGGTGGGGGAGGGTGAACGGAGCATTGTTGGCGTCGGGAATGGGTTAAGAGCGAGAAAATCGGTCTGACGATGGGTCGCAATAGATTCCATTTTAGAGAACACTCTTTACGACTCCTTTATACCAAATCCCTTGGAGACGATGGGTCGCAAACTCGCAATAGATCGTTTTTTGGGCTAAAAAATGTAGGGCCAATATCTGGGCCGGTAGAAATGGGCTGCCAACATCGACGCCTAGTAATGTCACCACGTGTTTTTTTTTTTAAGACTTTGTTATGGCGAATTTTTTTAATTACTACAAGAATTTTAATATATTGCAAATATACGGGTTATCGTATTTTATTAGCATGCATACTAAATTGAAGTGTCTTTATTTTGTGCTGAATTGAAAACGGCTGATATCAAAGAAATTCACCTTCCTACAATCACGCCCCTATAGTAATTCAGTTAAAAAAAAAAATTAAAAAAGGTATGTGGATATAACTTATTTGTTAGGAACTTGTTCATATCAGCATGGAAGAAAATATAATTTGAAATTCAAGCGTACTATCTCTGTAAAAATACAGGAAATACACGACAAGAAATCTGTAAACAGAACTTAGATATTTCCAATTACAGAACATATACATCTCTTCATCGCCGATCCAGTTTTATTGCAGAACATATGTAGAACGTAAACAGAACATACACAGAACATGTACAGAACATGTATTCAGTGCAGAACATATTTTTTAGGTGTTGTTGGCGTGAAATTTTTTATTGTTGTCGCCGAGATCTGACTAAAAATGGCTCAAATCGGATGTGGAATCGGCCTTTTCATGATCTAGATCTGAATTTTTTNTTTGCTACAGTGAATTTGCAGGGGAGAGAGAGAGGACCATAGATTTAATAAAAGGAGAGAAAGAGAAAGAGGACTGCAGAATTTGCAGGGGAGAGAGAGAGAGAAAGGAATGTAGATTTTAATGTAGCGTGTTTATCTCGTACATATACAAATATTTAGGGTTTTAAGGTATATATACAATATTTTATTATTTGACTGGTACACAGGGTAACTAATATAATATTCTATTATTTGACTTTGTTATTGAGAAATTTACACATCTTACCAAGTGGAATTTTTAATTATACACAATAATTTCAAAGTTATGAAAAATTGTCTTTTTCTATACTCTTATATTTATAAAAAAGAAGCTATCGCCTCACTGAATAACGCGGGTCCAAGTTTGTACAAACGCGTCATCCAGATATCTGAAAATGAAGTAAGACGCAACTCATCAGCTCCACTTTTTCAAAACTCTAATCACCATTACCACTCTATTTCCATCACCACAACACCGCCCCCACAATCGCATCATACCACCTTGATTAACTACAAGAGAGAGAAAAAACGACCAAGCAATTCCGGTTGAAGGTGGACTTGGATAGCCAAAAGAAAACGTCTCATTTCCTATTACGTTTTCTGTTTCTTTCTTTTATTTTGTAGGTCGTAAGTCACACTTTCTACTTACTAAGGCGTAGTCATTTAGTTAAGGCGTGTTGAGTTTTTGGTTTGTTTTAGTTAGTTAGTTGTCGGCACGTGTCGCTCAGTTATTGGTGCATGCATTTATTAGTTAGAAGTTAATATGGATATAATGACGAACTTCATCTTCTTCGTTCTCACTGAAACAGTGTAGCTTTAAGATATTTCCTGGAGCTTTATCTTCAATAATGGCAGAAATTGCTTGAATATATATATATATGGTACCAAAGTAGGCCATATAAGAGACTATTGTGCGCGCAGATAGAGGCAAAGAAGAACAAGGTAGAAAATCATAGGTCGAGGAAGCTACTCACGTGACACAGATCCTCTGGGCTCTGTCGCTTCATGGATTTGATCATCCTGGGATGGTGCTCGTCACTAATCAACTGACTTATGCGAATTATCTACACTGGAGTCGAGTAATGAAGCTGGCCTTAGGAGCTAAGTTGAAGCTCGGATTTATCCATGGATCTGTGGAGGTACCTGAGCAAAATACAGAAGTATAACACCCCAACTAATTATATTTTGTTTTTATATTATTATTATTACTACTTGTAGTATTGTTAGTATCATCGTTGTAAGTTATATTTAATGTTAAATAAATTTGAAATGACTATCAAGCTAGTAAATAGATAATAAATCCTAAGTATTTTGGACATAATTATATTTAATGTTAAATAAATTTGAAATGAATATCAAGCTAGTAAATAGATAATAAATCCTAAGTATTTTGGACATAATTATTATCTATACAAAATTTTCTGTGATTTCTATTTGTAATGACCCGTAATTAATTCCCTACCTCTTTTCCCAAACTTTTGTTTATTCATTTATTATTTTTAAATTTAATTCTTCCTTTTGGTATTTTAAGAAGGCCAATTTGTGTATTTTGTTATGGTCAAGATTGATTTCAATTTATATTATACCATAGTTAATGCCTCTTCCAAAATCCCCACCATATCTATCATTATATAAAAAGAATAACCTTTTTACAAATTTAGCAAGTTTTTCCGCCAATATTATTAACTGTAATCTATATATAGTAATTGCTGGTCAATTTTGAATAGGCCAAAAATCGGCTATGTATATATCTGTTTTTCTTTTTCCTCTTTTTTTGGTACTAAAAAACCGCCAGTGACAGTATATATATGTTTTTCTTTTTCCTGTTTTTTTGGTACTCAAAACGCCCGATGACAGTATATATCTGTTTTTCTTTTTTCCTGTTTTTTGTATTCAAATCCGTCGGTTGTTTTTATGATACTCAAAATCTCATCCCTTATTTAAAAAAAATAAAATCCGACGACGCTGCTAATTTTCATTGGTCTAATTACTAATATTTTTACAAATATTATAAACTCATCCTCGAAAACAATGTAAAAAGTATAATAATAATTTTGAAATTGTGCGTAATCAAATTTTGTTAGATGAAAGTAACACCATAAATTCGGTACCATCTAAATGTCTTTATTAAATTAGGCTTATAATATTTTAGATATTTTAAGCAAATTGTTTAGACATTTTGTTTACATATTTCTCTCTCTCTCTCTCTATATATATATATATTCACATATACATAAATGTTAAATTTAAATATTTTTAGATATGTTTTTTCTACAAAACAGTCTAGAAAAATCTTTTTTACACAATGTTAAATTCAAATGTTTTTAGATATATTTTCCTTCTAAAATTGTTTGGAAAAGTTGTAGGTGACTTCACATCTTGCAAAAATTATATAGAAAATTTTGAATACTTTTACATATACTAATATAACATTTTAGGTGTTAATATTAAACATCCAAATTTTATATTCTCTTATACAAAATAATGCAAATTTTATTTTCTCTTATACAAAATAATTTTACATTGTTTGACCCCGAATTTTTAATTTATAATTATTAAGTATTGTTTATCCTCCTCTTTAATTTATAATTATTTTTTTTCTTCCTATTTTTAAATAGAATCAATAGTAGTTTTCACTTAGTAACTCAAACTCGAGGTCTATTTATAATATTGTAGATTTAATATTGTTTCCGTGCATCGCACGGGGTACACACTAGTACCGATAAGCCGATAAGGGCCCTGCTTATATGAAAAGCATTCTCAACATTAAATCTTCCCAGACTACCATCATCCTTCACATTAAATGATAAGAGGTGAACAAAGTCAATATAAATGCCCAGTGCCATCAGTACTTGAACAAATTATCGTTATTTTAAATCAATAAACATCAGAAAAAAGTTTTCAGTTGAAGCTACAGACAAGACATCCCGTCTAAATTGAAAGCGTTCGTTTTTCAACACTTCCTTCAAAAAATTTTAAGGTGCCAACAAAAGGCAATAATACCCAAAACACATCTAAGAAAGAATAGCAATCACATCAGATTCACGTAGAGCTATGTAATCAGAGCCATCCACACCCTTGAAATCATTGCCCGCGTATTTAGAGTACAAAACCGTATTTCCTGGGGCCAAAGACAAGGGCTTTCTTTTACCCTCCTTGTCAAGCGGGCGAGGCCCAACCGCAACAATCTGTGGAGTTCAACATATTGAAGATTATTCTTTCTACCAACATCTTTCTCTAATTTCAACCAACTATATCACACATAGGCATTATAAAAGTGACCTGAGAAATTACAAAGGTATAGAATGGACTTACAGTGCCAATTGATGGCTTCTCCTTGCTTGCCTCTGTCAATAACAAACCACCAGCCGTTTTCTCTTCAGCTTCCGCAACCTGAAAAGATGAGCATTACAACACAGAACCACAAGGAAAAAAGATTTTGCGATTTTCTTTACGAGTATTCTAAGCAAATAAACTGATGGCTCACTTCACCTCTAATTTTTCTGCCCATATTCTACAAATAACCAACCTTTATTAAAACTCTGTCGTTCAGAGGTTTCATGTCTTTCACGTCATCAGTCTCAAGAATGCCGACAATATCGTCCACATTCAAAAGGAGGTGATTTGATCCGTCAAATTCGACCTCTGTCCCAGAATACTTTGAGTACACCACTTGGGCTCCGCTCTATAGATAAAAATGTATCATCTCAGTAAGTTGAACTATTTCACCACTATAGAAGTTAAAAAAGTAAATTATTAAAAAAAGAGGAATTCGAAGTATGATACCTTGACACTATTCTCCTCCTCGTTCTTCCCAACTGAACGACCCTCCCCAATAGCAACTACCTCACCAGCTTGAGGTTTCGACTGTGCCGTAGCTGGCAGTAAGATGCCGCCGGAAGTCTTTTCCTCTACTGTCTTAATTTTCACCAAAACCCTATCGCCCAATGGCTTCAGAGAAGTGTACTGCGATTTCATTGGCAAGATATAAATCAAGCACATGAAAATCAACCATTAACAGTAAAAAAAAAAATAATTTAGTAGCATGACAAACGGGGGTTGACGGGTGCGGTCCCACGGACGAAGCGCACCAAATCAGGGAAGCCCAAATGAAGCCCAAGTGAGGTTCCATTCCAAAACTAATTGGTGGTAGGAGGAATATCTCACTAGGCTTATACGGTGGGTCTATTTGCCCTGTACAGACGATGTGGAACAACTCACAAGTGTATATTCTGACATAACAAAATGATCGATTTGAAAGTGAGATTAGAATGGCACTTGGCCATCATCAAATTAATGAAGCGTGCAGAGGATCGACCCAAATCCCACCGCAATATTCGAGACGAATGAGTAAGAATTTCAATTGCATAGAAACAAGAACAAGAACAGAAGTTATACAACATTTAAGGAGGATAATAAACATCCACTAATCATTCAATAAAATGCAAACTCTTCCAAAACAGAAAAAGAATAACAAGATTAGAAGAACTGCCTTGTTCTCGTAAGATTCGAGGTAACATAGTAAGGATTTCAATCAAATAAAAACAGGAGCAAGGAACATAAGCTATACAGCCCTTAAGGAGATAGAAAAGCCATTCTTAAATCATTCAATACTAAAAGCAAGCTCTTCTAACACAGAAAACAGAACAAAAACATCAGTTGCAAAAACATCAAAATCTAACATTTAAGTCCGAACTTAAATTTGACAACAACTTAAATGAAGCTCCAACGGAGCACGAGTTAATTGGCAACAAAAATTGTACCTTTGGGGCGACAGTCGTAGCAGCCCTGACTGCAAGCCCTCGGAACGACCTGAGAGAAAGCCCGTTGTTTTTCAATGGTTGAAAGCACGAAACCCTAACTGGGATCGAAGCTCTGAGACCTTCGAACGAGGTGAACCCTCTTGCAGAAACTGAAGATGCAGCGGAAGTCAGCTGCGTGGCCGCCATAACTTGCTCTCAAGCTCGAAAAATCTGAAAATGAAAAGCTTAGATTGAACCAAATCGAGATAATCGAGATGCAGAAGAAGATAACGAGGCCTAGAACATGCCTGCAAGTGGAAATGAAAGGAGGGCGATGTATCAGGAATTCAGGATAACAAAACCCTAATTTAACAAATAGAAAATAAAAATGATGGGCTTTCTATATTTGTGCAAAGGATTAAGGAGGGTTCTAGAAGCTTTATGGTGGAAGTGTGGAACTAAGCCATGATACTGCCTCCCGCTAGAGTCAGAGTTCGGTCTTTTGATACTAAAAAGTAAAAGTTTTATTGAGTCGAATTGAGCTCAATAAACGAGCTGATAAACCAGTTTAAGTACATATGGTTAGTTAATCTTAACAAATTAATGTCGAATTTTAATGAATTAAGTTCGAGTCTTAAAAAGACTAACCAAATTAATTAAAAATAAAAGTTATGTAAAAATCTATTTTCAAGCCTAATCTATACTTATATTAAAGGGAGTCCTATTTATCAAATTAAATAGCCAGAAAAGTCAACATCATTTATTACATTACTATTTTCGTATTATACAATCTATACTTATATAAAAAGAGATTCTACAGTATTTACTATATTTATTATACATAAAAGTCAACTGCATTAAATGCCATTACTATTTTGGTATTATAATATTTTATTTATTTAATTGATTTATTTATTTGTTTTGTTTTAAAAATGTAAGTATAATAAAGAGATTTTAATAATAAAAAAATTAAATACCAAATAAAAATGTACACTTTGACTTATTTGATTATATTTGGTATTTGATTATACCAAATATATTCCTATTTAGTATATACATTAAATACTGACTAAAGTATTTATTTGTTTTATTTGTCAAAGTTAAGTATAGATTTGTTTATATTATCAAATCATAAAAAAATATTAAATTCATATGGTAAAAAAAATCATTTAATTTTATAACAATTCTACTACACTATTTAACAGTATTCCTTTTTTATTATATAATAAAATAATAATTAAATATTATATGGTGAACAACAATAAGTAAAATTGTTACTTTCTCTTATATCAAGGGATAAATTTATATGCTAAAATTAAATTTTTATTAGTATAAATGTTTTAGTGAGATAATATATTAATTATTTTACAAGCTAGCCCTAACATGCTCATATTTAATGTTTTAAAAGATGTAGAAAAAAAACTTATAATAACTCTATTGTTTTTTAGACTTAAACGTTGATTAAAAGAGGTAAAAATTCCTAATTTTTTAGACTTAAACGTTGATTAACACTATAGATTGAGAGTTTATATTTAGTAAAATTCCTAATTGTAAAAAAAAATTAATTTTGGCTATATTTTAGAATATCTTTAAATTCATTATAAAAAGAAAAAGAAAAAAAAACTAGAATGAAAAAAGCAAGTCAGCTATATATCGATTTGTTGTACTCATCAAATCACATTCACAATTTGGCTACAAGGAAAGGAAACTCATTGATTAAAATATTATTTTGTCAGTAGTCTTAATGTACAAGAGACTTTAAGACTCCACTTGAATATTATAAAATTTTTATTGAACATTTTACAATTTTCTTGCGTATTATAAACTTTTTTTGAATATTGCATCTTATAATATAATATTCTCCAAATAAATATATCCCGTACTTCGCACGAGTCACGTACTATATATATCCCGTACATATTTCTTTATTCATGTATATAATTATAAGTCTGGATAAATAACCTTAAAATTGTGTATCTCGTGCATCGCACGGGCTCTGTACTAGTGATAATTTACGAGCTGAGTTCATTTTAACTTGCTAATTAAATGAACTAGAGTTCACGAACCGAATGAAACTATGAATTATTTGTTTTGTTTATCAACTTTGTTATTGCAAAATATGGGTGGGAGGGTTTCTTTGGGCTGAATGAAATAGACGTGTTATTAGGCCGACGGCCCGACATATTGATTTGTTGACAAGATCTTAAATTCAACACAGCCCTCCACATCCTTTATTTATTAAATAGATAGAAATAGGTATTACAAATTCAAGCATAAAAAAATACGTAGTATATATTATGTATGACTCCATTAAGTCAGCGCAGCCATTTGGAAATTATTTGCCAATCGTCAAAATTTGAGCATTTAAGAAAAATTAAACACACTCGTGGGATTAAGTTGTTACGAGGACAGTGATGTTTATGATTAACGTGTTAATTGACTTGTGACCTTATAGTAATTTAAGTTGATTGGTGGTAACAATTGTTATTTAATTAAAGTTGTTTGCTCACACAATTTTATTAGGCATGTTTGTAAATTTAAACGAGTCAAACTCAAATATATAATCGAACTTGCTTATCAAAATTCAAACTTAGTTTGTTCGCGAACAATATATATTTTTTTATATGGTTTTTAAATGAAATAGTGGAGCCCAACTTATTTGTGCACGGAAATTTATATTTGAAAACAACTCGTTTAGGATTTTCAATTTATTAATTAAGTCAAATCGAGTTTTCACGATAACAAGTCAAGTCTTTGGCTCGTCAATTAAACTAGACGTGCTCGCAACGTGTTGTTGTGATTGACAGTAGATTAGAGATATAAACGAGCCAGGATGAACTTGAGATCGAGATTTTGATACTCAAGCTTGAACTCGAGATTTTGTCGAGCCTCCTGCACGGATTTAGCCCGACTCTTTAATCAATATTAACAAATCGAGCTTAAATCTTAACGAGTTTGTTATTGTAATTTAAAAAAAAACACATGAAAACTTTTATCCTCAGGACGAGTCAAGTCGAGCTCGGGGTTTAAAAGGTCAAGTCAAACTTGTTGTGCCTTAGTTTTTCTTTGGTTAGCCTATTAATTATTCAGACCGAAGCACCCATATCTTTATTGGGTCTGCACCAGCTCAGGTCTAATGTACCTAGCAGGAAGCCAGAGCCCATGAGTTCGACGTCGATCTATTTCCAATCTGAGTAATGCACCATCAGTTGATGCCAAATGTCGATCTCTCAGCTAAATGTAAACATGAACTAGTAAAGTAACCGTCCAACTGGTCTCATCATGAAAAGTCAGAATTTGCATGGAGCCATGTGTCAAGATCCTAGGCCCCTAGTTGACAAACGACAATCGTTGTATTTTCACTTCATTTATGTATAAATTTCACATTAAATGTATCAGAAACATATATAAAAAAATATGCATTCACGTATAATCTCAACTTATACATATTTAGTTTCGTAATAGCTCGTTATCAACAAAATTGTGCTAGAAAGAGGGCCCAATCAAGGGGTTTGAAGTTTGATAAATCTTCTCCATCGGTAAACCTTCTAAGATTCATTTCCAAACATTTTGCATACTTTAACAACCATGTCATCCTCAACCAACGCCAATAGCCAAAACAACGACGAAAACTCTTCCCCCATCATGATGTTACCCAAATTTTCCAAAATCTCGCCTTTGTTAAGGGCATTCTCGAGCTTTTCGCTCAAATGCTCCAGAATAATTCTCACAACAATCCACAACAAAATCCGCATCCCAAAATCTACAACCGTTAATTTTAGCATCCCATGAAGGCCACTCTCATGGTAATCAAGAGTCATGTGACAAGGGCAAGTAGAAGGCCAATCAACCGAAGGACCATGAGACACGGTTAGAATTTGTTACAAATAATATACGTTGTGGATATAAAAAAAGTACGAGTAGTTTATCACTTGATAAAAATAACTATGCTTCTTATTGGTAATATTTCTCAAATATCTAAATTTCGATACAAGAATTCATTAATCTGGTTAAGAACAAGTTGTAAACTTACAGAACCAAATTTTACATATTTTTATTTTATATCCTAATAAATTTGTTTAAAAAATACAAATAGAGAGAGAGAGAGAGAGAGATAAAAAATAAAATTATCTTCGTCATAAATAATGTATTTTATTCAACTACAAGGACAATATTACTTAAAAAATAAAAAAGTATCATCTACATGTATTAGGGATGAACCTGTATATCCCAATGAAATATATCTAGAAAATAATGATTAACATTTACTTGAACAAAAAAATATCTATATTTAGGTTCTTTTTACTAATATCAACCAAGAATATGAAAAGAAAAATGAAACTAAAGAAAAAAAAAAAGAAAAAGAAAAACAAGACAACATAGAATTCATTAAATTTGATTGCATTTATGGGTAAAAAATATATAGATATTCAGAACTGATATTAAAAAGAAAAATGCTAACATACAAATAGAGAGAGTTACATAATTTCAAAAAGATCAAACTCATGTTTTTAATTGTGAACATTGAAGGTAACATTCATATTGATTTTGGTCTGATTGGAGGTGACTAAAAAAAATACAATTTTTGTTTAATTTTGTTTTGTTGTGTACAAATTTTTATTTTTACCGAGTATCGAATCAAAAGATTCGTTTCCCTGGTCGATCTCACGAGGAAGGCGGTTCAGAATTTAGAAGTGGTGTTGATAACAATAAAAGCAAAATAAATTCTAAACATTCTAATTCAATTTGTTGGTTTTTGATTAGTAACTAAGAAATAGCATAAAACATAAATCTACCTAAAAATATAAACGACACAAAGATAAAGAAGTTAGGGAGTCGAGAATAATTTATTCAAGTTCGAAACGTAAAGACGGACAATTAATCGTTCGGTTCAAGATTGATACTCTCGCTTAAACATCTAGCGGTTCGCTCCCAATAACTTTTCGTAACAAGGGATTGACATAGACGAGCAAGTTCAAGCATACAACACCGGCCAATAATCCAATCTCAATAACTCTTCGTAACAAGTGAAGGGACACCGACAAGCATGTACTTCAATCCAAAACCTATAGACTATTCAGTTACGAAATCGTCTACCTCGTACGAGCCTAGTTCTACGACTCCTCCCCTTTCGGTTCTAAAAGTCGCTAATTAAATTTGAAGGTGTTTAATCAACTAATCATGTAGAATCAACAAACCCTAACTCAACAAATCAATATTCAATCGTTTTCAATCGCAAAATCGAAGTGTCATTCTTCGATTATATCAATAAATTAACCTAAGTGTCACTATTAGGTTATATCAAATTATCAAGCACGATTTTATCAATTTCTAATTAATACAACTCGCACAAGAATGAACAAATTAAAGCCTAACAATTACGAATTAAACAAGAACAATCATCTCTTATCCCTATCAATCGGAATTAGCTACGCAAAATAAATTCAACACAATCAATCATTTCTCCCAATCCAACCATTTCATGAATTAAACAAGAAGAAAAACTTACAATTAATCTCAATCCAAGTGTTGAATCCAAAATACAAGCTTAATCCCTAAAATGGAAAAGAAAGAAAAAAGAAAGAAAAATGGAGAAGAAAGATGGAGAAGAGGAGAAGAGAAGAAGAAGAAGAAGAAGAAGAAGAAGAAGAAGAAGAAGAAGAAGAAGAAGAAGAAGGGAAGGAGAAAGAAGGAAATGAAGAAGAAAAATGGAGAAAAGAAGAAGAAGAAGAGAAGAAGGATATGAAGGAAAATGAAGGGGGGGAGGCGATTTTCGGACCTAGGGTTCCTCCCCCTTCGAGCTGGTGTTGAAAAGTTAAAGAAAAAATGAGGTTTTAGGGCTTTTTATATCATTCTGGGAGTTGTAAGTGGTCTTACCACCGCTAAAGTGGGTTAGCGGTGCTAAGGGATGAAAGTTGCGAGCCTCTGTGGTCGTTAACATGGTATAACGCCGCTAGGTAAGCCAGGGTTAGCGCCGCTATGGCCTGGGCAGTGCAACTTTGCTTTTCTGGCTCGTTTGGGCTCGTCCGAACTCAGAATTGAGTTCCGTTTTTTCCTACGTGTCGCTAATGAACCCCTCTATTCAATGATGCTTGCATGGAAAAATTATTCTTGAAATCCAATTATCCCAAAGCTTATGACCAGCACACCATAGACGTGCTTCGCGCGACTTCGCGTTTTGGGCCCGTTTGGACTCGTCCAAGCTCGAAATTGAGTTTTGCTTTTTTCTATATGTCGCTAACGAACCCTTTTACGCAACCATGATTGTCTGGTCGATGTTCGGGCTAAATTGATTTCTCACGGAGCTTCTGACCTGCACACAAAAAACGAAGAAAAACTGGAGAAAACACACGAAAAACACAAAGAGAACCAAAATAAAGAAAAACACGCAATAAACTACAAAACGAACTATAGACCAACGAAAAGACCTAAAACGGGGGAAAAAGAATGACAAAACAACAACGAAAAATGCAACAAAAATGGGACAAAATTAATTTTATCCGGTCAATTGCTGAACCGGATAATTAATTTTAAAATTTTTAAAATTATATATAGAGTATTTTTGTCATATAAATATACATAAAAGTAACAAAATTAAATGTTTTGTGTATAAAATTAGTACATTAAAGTGTTAATAATATGTATCTCATGATAAATATTTACCATATAAACATATATACATAATTTTATTTTTAAAAAACAAAAAAAAAAACAAAAAAACAAAAAATATATATGGACCGGGTTGACCCGGCCGGGTCAATGCCCCGGGTCGGCCGGGTCAAGATTGAGTCGGCCGGGTTTTGACCGGGTCCTTTGTTGCCCGGTCCAAATACCCCACCCGGACCGGTTCCAGCTCCGGGTCGACCCGCCGGGCCGGTCCGGGTCACAAAACACTGATTCGTACATCAATACTGTTTTCATAAGAGTGATGTGATCATACTGTATTTATCAAAATATTACCACCAACAAGGTTTCGAATGACATACTACAATGCAACAAATATTTTCTTTTTAATCATATATCACATGTGTTAGTTTTACTTTTTATTATTATACAATTTAATATTTTATTCATACTGTTTTGCAAGAATTCTGGCAATGTGTATTTAATATGGTTATCATAAATTAAATGTAAAATAAGTGTTGGCTATTGATATAAGCATTGGATGTGATCATCTTGATTGTTACAACAAAAATCTTGAAAGTATATAATAAAATCCTCTATCGTTCCGAAAAAAAAAATATATATATATATAATAAAATAATAATTTGTATATATATATGTATATATACTTTATATTTTTACTTTTAGATGGACATATACTGTCACGTTTGTATACAAAATGAAACTTAGATGATTTAGTGTTTGAATATGACATCGGAATTTGGTTTCATTTATGAGTAAAAAATAGACTAATATTGCATAATGACATTGTAAAAGATAAAAAAAATAGGAAATGATAACAAAAAGAGTGAGAGAGTCTCACCATAAAGAGTGACAAATGGTTTTGATTATGAAGACTGAATAAGATAATATATATTTATCATCCAATTATTTATTGAAAGTTTTGTATATAGTCTTTTATGTTGTTTTGATCTTAATTGATTTAATAGTCTGAGCCCAAAATACATAATTTGTTTAATTTTTATTTTGAGTTAATATCATTTGTTTCATTTAGGTCTAAATTTGAGGTCATCTAAAAGTTTGTAACTAAAGTGACTGCACACATTTTTATTTCTTTATTAATCCACAATTATGCAACTATAACTTGTAAATAGCACAATTTGTTAATTATTGTTAAATTTTTGTTACTATAACACATGTTTTTTTTCTTAAGAGAATGGCAATAATATATTATTGCTACTAAATCGTTGCAATAGACAACGGTTAATGCATGAACTACTTATTTCTTATCATATATAATAAATGTTCGTCTTATCAAAATAACTTTTACTCTTTTTTTAATTTTATAATACAATTTAAATGTATTTTTATTATTAATGCACATTTTATTGACATGAACATTAACGATTACTATGTCTATTTGTAATTTTATAGAAAATGATCTATCTTGCACGTCATTCTGATCAGCATCGGATTTATTTTGCAAGGAAATGAAGTATTGAATTTATTCTGCCAATTAGAAAAAGTAAAAAAATATGTGGATCGAAATTGAGTCATTTTTTTTTTATTTTTTTATGAAGTATTTGATATATATTTTTTAATTTTAATTGACTCATATTTGTACATATTTATTTGAATTATTCTATATGAGTTTATCTATAGAATAGAAATAATGTCTTTATTTATTCATAAATGATAAAAAAATTATGTTATTATCCAGATATTTTTGGAAAAAGTTTCAAGAGGTATCATTAATGGACAAATACATTTTTTGCTCAAATATCACTAATATTTTTTAAGTTAAATTTATTTAATTTAAAAATTTTATGAAAAAATGAATAGTAATTTGTAGTCACAATCAATTATATGTTGTCGCTTCTAGAGTCATAAATCTATGTTATTTAATAATTAGTATTATGATAATAATAATGATAATAATTACAATTCTTACACTACTAATATTTATTTAAAAAAATATTTTAAAATATAATAAATAATAATTTTATCAACACCATTTTTAATATCACGTCACGCAATAGTAAACCAAGCGGGCCTTCCTCGACCCATCCGAATTCCCACACACAAAAAACTCGAATTCCACATGTGCCTCTTAACAGTCTAACGTCACCGCGTTTTCCCGACCAACTAGTGACTGCCCTACCACACTTCCCCCACGTGTCTCCTCACGCGCTTCACCACTCCCCTGTGTTCCACTTTGACCCTCCTCCTCACTCACTCTCCCCCACAACACCCTATAAAAACTCCGGCCGCCATTTTCAATCCCCACAAAGAAAACCAATCAATTTTCCTTTTTATAAAAAAATAAAAAATAAACGAAAAAGGTAAATAATTATTAATTATAATTAAAAAATTTGAGATGTTAAAATCGACACCGCTAAATCAGACGGCGGAGGAGCAGCCGTCACCGCCTCCGGCGGCGGGCGAGAAGTACAAGGGCGTGAGGAAGCGCAAGTGGGGCAAGTACGTGTCCGAGATTAGACTTCCCAACAGCCGGGAGAGGATCTGGCTCGGCTCCTACAATACTGCGGAGAAGGCGGCGCGCGCCTTCGACGCCGCCCTCTACTGCCTCCGCGGCCGGGCCGCCCAGTTCAACTTCCCTGACGACCCGCCGGAGATACCCGGCGGCCGGTCGATGTCGCCGGCCGAGATCCAGGCCGCGGCCGCCCAGTTCGCCCGCGAGGTGCCCCCACGCGCCACTGGCGTTTCGGGTCGGGTCGACAGTCTGGACTCGCGGGCCGATTCGTTTGGCTCGGCGTCGGGTTTGTGCCCGTCCATGTCGGACGAGGTGGTAGCACAGGCGGGTTGTGAAATGACGGAAATACCCATAGATAATGATTTTCTGGACCAGTTTTTTACGATGGGGTCCGGGCCGGATAATATATCCGATTTTGGATTATTTCCGGGTTTTGACGATTTTGCGGGCGGTTTTTTGGCGCCGGCCCAGCCCGAGGCCGATTACTATTGGCCCCAATACAACGAGGAGGTGGCATATTCAGAGGCCCCATCATCTCTTTGGAATTTTTGAGGGCGAAATTTTGGAGAAAAATAATTCGATTTTTGAGGAAAATTTTGGTTCAGAAAATTCTAGATTTTTTTTTTTTTACTTTTTTTTTTTTANTTTTCAGCTGGAATTGGCTGACTTTTTCTATTTTGGGATATTAGTTTATTTAATTACTTTTATATTCCTTTCCTGGAGTGGATGGAGCTGTTTTTGTGATTCCATCGATTATTTTTATTTGTGTTCAATTTTTTTTGGTTATTTTGATATGATAATTTTTCTTGTTCATGATCAAAATTGTGATAAAGGAGCTAGTTTGTGCTAGCTTGTAGCAAACTCGTAATTATAGCATTATTTGTTATTTGTGATACAGAGCTAGGAGTGGTAAATTGTAGTTTTACAATCTGTCCTTCAACCTTCTAAACATTTTGTGCTTATCAAGTATTTTAAGAAAAAATGATTATATTCTTATTATAAATTCTCATGTGAATCAGTCTCACCAGCCCTCGCCACTAGGCAAATCGACGGGTTGTACTTATTTAGACTTTGTTTATCGGTGATCCAATGCTTGAGTCACCAGGAAAAGACAAAAAAAAAAAAGAAAAATCAACAAAAATGTGTCACCCAGATCACAATGTGACCTAGGGTCACAACCGGTGGAGGGAGAATTTTGGGACACTTGTCCAACTTTTATTGGACAAGTGTAATTTTTTAAATAAGATAAAAAATAATTTATATTTTTAGAGTTAATTTATATCAAAAATAAAAAATATCAAAATTCGTATTTTTTATTTTCTATAAATAGAGCCACATATGATATGTTTTAGAACACAATTGTAATTTAGTAATGATAGTTAATGTGTGATTTTATTCAAATTATTTGTAACTTGTTTAACTAATTTTAATTTTTGTTCCAATTTTTATAATTTTAAATTTTAATTGAGTTCGTAATTTTATTCTAATTTATATGGTAAAATATAATTTTTTTAAAACAATTACGACTTTAGTTATAATTTTTTTAATTAATTTGTCACGCTTAAAATAATAACACAAATCAAATGTAGATAATATTTAATAAATTAAATATTTTAAGTTGGGTTAGGTTGGGGATAAAGATAAGCTGAGTTGTATAAGTAGAGGAGTGAGAAATAATTTTTAATTGTTTAGGTGGGGTTGAGTTAGATTGTTGATAAGGATAGTCCTAATCTATACTTATATAATAAGAATTGGTCAATGTCGGATTTGCATTAAATATTTTCCAAAACTGGTAAGTTTTTGTTCTTTTCACACTTCTCATTAATTATGTCATTTTCACACTTCTCATTAATTATGTCATTTTCACACATCTAATTAATTCATTAATTACGACATAATTATCATAAATTATTCCATGTGAGCTTTTATCGTTAAAATGTATAGCGATCTGTTATGACTTTATCCCATTGATATTTTCATGAAGCGTCCTTATCGCGTTCTATTTTTTGGTAACCACTCTATATCAATAACCGGATATTTGGTTAATGATAGCACACGTCTTTATTTCAAGGAGCATATATTCTTTGACCTTTAATTAATCTGAACTGATTGCCTTGACTTTTCAATTTTTAAAAACTCTTTTTTTAAATATTTCGGCTTAAGATTCGGATTTCATTATACAAGTCATCGGATTGTTTGAATGAAAATGAATGAAAAGAACACCAAAAACAGGTAGCGTTATTCATATAACCAATCCTAAAATATTAGTTTGTTCACCAAAAAGAGACAAATCCTAGAAATCCTAAAATATTAGTTTGTTCACCAATCCTAAAATATTAGTTTGTTCATCAAAAATATTAGTTTGATTTTTAGGATTTGTCTCTTTTGAAAATATTAGTTTGTGATAATGAGAAGTTACGAAATAATCAAACTCATAATGTTGTGTACAAGGAAATTTTTAATAATATATGATTGTTACCGAACTTTTTATGATTCAACAATGTTCCTATGTATTTTAATGGTTTCAATTTCGATCCTAATGCACGTGAGGTTATATTATTCTTCCAAATTTTACAGCCCGTGCATCGCACGGATTACGTACTAGTAGAAATGAATACTTGTACTATAAATGTTACATTTTCGTTTATGCTACTTTTTAAATATTATATTTTAGTTTAAAATATTTTTGTTTCACTGGTAATATGCATAACATCAGGTTTACATGTATTTGTCTAACTAAAAAACTGAGTCGTTTGTATTTTCAAGTGTTTGCAAACAATTGCTAAATATCCTTTATCCATTTATAAGCAAAATGTAATTAAATCTAAACTCATGAAAGCGTAGAATTAGCTGGACATGAAGTCCTCCCACATCTTTTACTTTTAACTATCACTATCACTCGTAGTCAATCACGTGTTTATTTGTAGAGTTGCATACTTGCATGTATATAAAAAGAAGATTTTTTTTAAAAAAAAATAAAAAACAATTTCTTTATATTTAGTTGTCTGCATTTGATAATCATAATTTTCCTTTCCTTTTTTTTTTATTTTTTTTTTATTTCGATATCCATATATTTTTTCCTAGTAAAAACATAATTTATGTTTTATTCTTTTCCTTTTATTTATATCATATATATTAAAGAAATGCTACAAGTACATAATATTCTACATAGATGTGTAAATAATACTCACATTAAATGGATCTTACCAAAAATAAAAAAGAAAATGTTATGTGTACATAATAAATGTACATAACACTCACATGGAGTGGGGTCTACTTGATCTTTTAATTTTGGTAGGTCCCACTAGATGTGAGTGTTATGTACACCACTGTGTACAATATTATGTACACATAGCATTGTTCAAATAAAAAATCAAGTAGACCACACTCCATATGAGTGTTATGTACATCTCTATGTACATTTATTATGTACTTGAAGCATTGTTCTATATATTAATTAGTCATCTTTTAACTTTTCAACAACCATAATGGTAATATACATATATAATTGTTGATATCCGAGTTAAACGGAGCCATTAATACTATACTTTTATATTTACCCCGGATCGGTAAATCAGTATTAAGAGCTGATTGGTATCGGTAGTATGACAGAAACGACAAAACATCGGACGAACCGACCTGGATCTGCAATGGATGGAAATAATAGAATAAGCTCCGCACGTGCCTGAATGAATCTTGAAAATCTTGCTTCCAAAAATCCGATCAATCATTTCCCTAAATTTTTTTGGTCAAACATGTAAATTTGGTTAAAAAAATCCAGTTAATCAATTAATGAATGAAACGTTTGAAAATTTTTGGAATCCATCCAAAAAGTTATGCCAACTTAATTATAGGGGTGGGCAAAAAAACCAGATTTTCTAATCCCAAACTGGACCGAAATGGTCCCGTTTTGAAAAATAGGGTTCCAAATCGGTTTTTAAATTTTCGAACCGTTGAAACAATGTCGGTATCGGTTTATAATTTTTTTTCCCGAACCGTCCCGTTTGTCCTGTTTTATTTTTTTTGTACTAAAATATTATATATATACATACTACACATTATTTATATTTATGTTAGTATTATATTGTACAAAAAAATGGCACTTGCAGTTGGTGTTTCTAACTTTATGTAATTCTGTTTCAATTCAATTTTATTGTCTTAACTTAACAGGCTTTGTATTTTATTAATAAAAGCCCAATACAGTTGGCCCAAAAAATGAAAAAATTAAACATACTAATGTATTTACGGGCACAACACAACAGAACATTATTCTCATTTCCCAATTCCCATTCACGATCAATTTTGAATACTTGATTGCAGCTTAATTAGTTGGTATGGAATCAAAGTTTTTTTTAAGTGAAATAGTGGATAGTTTGAAGAAGTTTGAACATTTTTTTTCCCGTTTTGTCCTGGTCCCGAATTGTTTTATCCCACTCTCGATTGTTACCGATCCGTTTGGGACGGGGTCTCGTCCCGGATCGGTTCAAAAAACCGGGATAGGTCAAATCCCGGACCGCGCCCACCCCTACTTATTTGTTAAATATTTTTCTATCCATATATATCTTTCTACAAATCTCATATTTTATGGTTATAACTAAAATTCTTATTTATTTAATAAAGAATACTAATTTCATAAAATAATTTTTATATTTCGAATTGTTCAACTTAATTGATAATTTTTTTGTCCATATATCTAATTACAAAATCTTCTAAAATTTAGAAAGAATCTCATATTATGTGGATTCTTGGTACCTATTTTTTATACACATTCATTTTTCATCTCGTATTTAAATTACAAATTTTAATGCGAAACTTAAATATCTCATATTTAAATCATATCTATATATATATTTTTAAAAAAGTGACGATTCATATAATTAATTTTATCATATATCATGTGTTTGATGTTATTGGTTTGGTTGGGGACACTCATTATATTCAAATAAATAATATATAATTTTTCATATTTTGTATTTCTTTTCTTGCATTGAGTTTAAACTAAGGTTTAAAAAAATATTAATTAACAAATACATCCGTGCATCGTACGGGATGCGCACTGGTTAATTTGAACATCAAGTACATGACATTAACGCATAAGTTAACGAGCGTTATATGAATTACCAGTAATCAGCCTGTGCATTTGCATAGAGAAGAATACTTTAAAAAAATAACAATATTAAAAAAACAAAAATAAAGCATAATTTAATTCATGAAAAAAAATATGAATTAAGAAAATAATTTTTAAAATTGATTCTGATCAAGTAATTGTTATGGAAGAGCTGTTACAACCATTTTCTTTATGCTGATACACCCCGCCATTTTCATGAGTGGGTGACTTAAAATTTAAGTACAGTTTTATAACTCGTTTGATTGGTTTATGCTCATAATTTATGGCATTCAAGCAAGTTATTTTGTAACCTAAAAATGAAATTGAATGCTGAAAATTTTGGAGGGAGAATAAAATTTAATGCATGAGAATAAAATTAAATGTTTTGTTGCTCCTCTTTATATATATATAGATATAGATTTTGAAAAACAAATGTCCACAATCATTATCATACGTGGACTAATTAAAATTAAAGCGTATCAAATTTATGATCTAAATTAAAAATTAAAATTAAGAATATATTTTATTTAACTTTCTATGTTATTTACTACATTTTGGTAAAAGGAAGGAAAAAAAAAAATTTTATTGGTTATTATATATATCATATATATTACATTAAGAGGGAACTTAAAATTATAAATATTCTAAGGTAGTGTCTCAATATGATGTATCATTGTAATAGGACTGACGCAAATATTTATGGTGCGGTTTGTATACTTTCCTATGCTTGGCGGGCAAGTATTCGTGATAGGAAAGTAGATAAGCAGCAAACTCATATATAAAGTCCAAAGGCCAATTATTTTACACCAAAAACTCTGTAGCTTCATTGCAAACGGGAAAATTAAAAAAAAAAAAAAATGCAGATATTCGTGAAAACGTTAACAGGCAAAACAGTAACACTCGAGGTTGAACAGAGCGACCCCATTGACAATGTCAAGGCTAAAATTCAGGACAAGGAAGGTAATTAAAAATTATTCTGCGTTTCTATCTATTTTTATTAAATTTCTTCTGAAAAAAAAAAAAATTGAACGTTATCTAATTTTGTGGTATTCCAATTTCCGCTTGCTCAGGAATCCCGTCGGATCAACAACGTTTGATTTTCGCCGGAAAACAACTTGAAGATGGTCGGATTCTTTCCGATTACAACATTCAAAAAGGTTAATTTCATCGTACCTTTTTTTATCTTGCTATTTTTTTTAATTTTTTTTTAATTTTTCTGTTATTCTTGATTTTTGTATTTATTAAGATAATTGATATTTACTTTAATATTTCTTGGTATTGAGAAAATCCCAACTTTGAAATTGCAGAGTCCACTTTGCATTTGGTTCTGAGGCTAAGGGGCGGCCGCTGGTTTTGGAGTAATATTAGATATGGCCCATATCTTGGCGAATTGGCTCGTAAATACATTATCAACAAGCAAATTTGCCGCAAGTGAGAGTTTNTATTATTATGCATCACAAAATTTTAATATTTTGATTTAGGCTTATGAAAATCTTAATTTTTTACTTTTTTGGTGCAGCTGAGACCAAAGTCGACCAAGAGCTATACAATATGACCATTTAATTTAATTATTATTATTTTTTATTCCTTCTGCACTGAAGAAGTTTATGAGTCCGCTTTCTAGGAGTGCTAATTTTTCAATAAAGCTTGTTATTTTATATTTGTACAAGTTAAATTTTGAAGTGGTTTTCTAATTTATTGGCGTTTTTAGATGGGCATATCGTTCCAACTAGTAATTTTGGAATCTAACCATGTGCAAATGCACTGGTATAAAATTATTAGTTGTATAATGACATTATATTTGTAATGTTTGAACATCGGTATAACATAAACAGTAGAAAACTATTTAACTGAATATGAAAGGAAATGTTCACATGCCCACAGTGGATACATGTTAATATGTCCATCGCTGATGTGGCATGCACACATTGGTGATGTTAATATGTTAAAAAAAATATATCACTAATGTGTGCATGCCACATAAGTCGGTGGGCATATTAACATGTGCCCACCGTGGGCATGTGAGCATTTCCCTATGAATAACTATATTAATTGGACAATGAATAATGACAAATTAAATAGCTGAAAAAAACATTAAATTTACTATTACAAGAATTCCTTATGAAATTTTAAAGGTTTGACTTTATCCTTAATATCAATTAGTTTACTTAAAAAATAATCGCTTAATTGGATAAAAAAATAATATTAATTTAAGAATATATAGATTAAATAAAAAAATTTACAATATAATTTTTTATATTTATGTAACTTTCATATACTATAAAATATTATTAATTAATTTTAATAATACCTATTATAATAAACAAATTTTAATATATTAAATTCTTTCCCCCTTTGTAACACATATATCTTTGAGAAAATTACACATCTTACTACTCATTTCTTAAATATTATTAAATGTACGAAACTCGTAATTTAAATTGAAAAGTATGAAGTTTAATCAATTAAATCTTTTTATTTTCTCTCTCTATAGAATTGTTTAACCTACTCTTCTCCAGTCGCCACCAATATATTCAAGAAGCCATACCCTAACCACTAGCACCTTATCTAGCCTAAATCTCAACAGCAAATCTGCATTAATTTAAATCAAGCCTCATAGCAAGACGACCCAAATTTCTTCTCAAGCCTCCCGTCAAATCTTCCCACTGTCTCTATCGACTTTCTGGCACTAGTCAGACGACGAGGAGGGCAACACCTGCTGGCGTTTGAAAGCCTCCAACTCCCAGCGACCAAGCACAAGGAGGTCGAGCTGTCCGCGACATAGACGAGAGTCGACGACTTGACAGAGGAGCAGTCGAGAGCAGGGGTCAGCGGCTGAGCAATTTCCGAGCACCAGGCCACTCACAGCCGAGGTGATTTCTATGAGCGGCGAAGAGCAACAGCAGCGGCTGAGGGCGAGAGCAAGGCCGGCGATCGGAGATCCATCAGTTGTTGGTGAGTCGAGCAGCTCTACCGGCGGACGAGAGAGAAAATTACATATGTCTAAAATTTTGGTAAAGTATACATAGTTGTTTATCTAATGTATAACTACATTCGATTTGAATTTTGCCGTCATTAAGAATTGAGTATTATGTTTTTATACCGTTTTAATGTTGTTTATATGTTGTTTATCTTATGTATAACTATACGGTTCATATTAGAAAAATGTCATATCATGTTTATATGTTGTTTATCTTATGTATAACTATACGGTTCTTATTTGAAAAATGTCAGATCATATTTATCTGATGTATATATACAGTATATCTAAACACATAACTGAAAAAAAAAAATTAACAAGGGAATTTATATTACCTTCACGATTTCTATGATCAATATATGACGCAACATAATTTTTTTTGTAGGTTGCTCATTTTCTTTTTTTCCTTTTTTTTTTTAGATGTATGAATCAAGCTCCAGTCTGATCTCGAAAAAAAAAACATCAAAGTTCTCTTCTCAGTTTCATCTAAAAATTTGAAATTCTCAAACAAAAAATGGTAACTCTCATTATGTGGTAGAATTTTTTTAAAATTTTACTTTGATATTGCGACAGTTTCGGTAATCTTAATTGCGGCGAGTTTATCTTAATTGCGGCGAGTATTATGGAAGGGCTAAGAGGATTCGTAAAAATAAAAATATGTTGTCACGATGGCCTTATATGATAAAAGATTGTTTCAATAGTAAATCTAAAAATAATTATTATAATAGACATAAGTATGTAAATTTCCCTATATCTTTTATACACTAGTTTGTGCACAACCGGCCCAAGTTTTGTTATATTTGTAATCATATTAATTAAAATAATATAAGCCATTTACTTACAAAAACAGAAACGAAAACATAATCATAAGCGGAATTTAACAAAATGCTCGCTGTCTTTCTAAGTTTTGTTATATTTATAATCATACTAATTAAAATAAATATAAGCCATTTACTTACAAAAACAGAAACGAAAACACTAATATAATAATCATAAGCGGAATTTAACAAAATGCTCGCTGTCTTTCTATGCCGATAGGTTAAGTACTTTTTAAATAGTTATATAACTAGAAATTTATAAATAAAATAAAAAAAATTAAGTACTTTTTTTTAAAAGTTATATAACTATTTATATTTAACATGACAACAATCATTTATTTATACGACTTACTATATTATATTATAATAATTTTTTTTTAACTTCTATCATATAACTACTTTAGGTAATTTGATTCTTATACAATGATCAATATAATTATTCATTTATTTGTATGTACAATATACATGCAAATATTTTAGGCTTATGTAACGCTATCTCTAGTCTTTTACTCTACTCTAGTGTAGAGTTAATCTACTCTAGAGTAGAGAATGCCATAGCTTAATTTTCGGCTCCAGTCGTTCGCGTTACATTTTACTCTACATGAAATATATTATACAAAACAAAATTTAAATATAACTATAAAATCAAAAATTTTATATTATTTAACAAAAAAAATAATTTTGTTATGTATATTTTATTAAAATAATATTTAGAGATAAAAATCACTTGAAAAACTAAAATTTGAAGAAAAAATTGTAGTGCAATCATATCTTCATAGTAGTCGAAATAGGGGTGGACAAAAAACTGAAAAAGTCGAATCTTCCCGTACCGAACCGGACCGAAATGGTCCCGTTCCGAATAATAAGATTCCAAAAAATTTTCTTTATTTTTGTCTCGTTCCATGTATCGAATCATTTTAAACAATGTCGGCATCAATTTTGAATATTTTTGTCACGAACCATACCGTTTGTCTCGTTTGATTTTTTCGTACAAAAAATATATATGTATATATATATATATATATATATATACACACACACACACATATATATATTATATTAGTAGTATAGTACCAATTACATGCATTAATAAATAGGTCATTTTGGTATTCGAGCTTCAATAACATTCTAACTTTGTAATATAATAAACAAAAGCCCAATTGTCCAAGCCAAAACTAAAAATATGGCACAAAAAAAATAAAAATTAAATTAAACAATGCATTTGGTAATCTAGAGTAATATAAAGAGATTGTTGGAAAAATACAAAAATAGTAACTTTGACTTAAAAAATTAATTGTTGACTTACTAATATAAGCAATATCAATGGGCCCCATATGTCAACCAATTTAATTGGATTTTGGTAACAAATTTGATCCAATTTTGATAACAAATCTCAGATTTTAGTAACAAATTTGATCTTATTTTGATGACAAATCTTGGATTTTCTTAACAAATTTGATTTGATTGTGATAACAAATCTTTTAAGATATCGTTTTTTTGTAACACACTTCATAGTTATTTACACACAATATATTGCCGATAATCTTTGGGATTTCTTTTGGTAACAAATTTCACAATTTTTTCGATTGTTCGGAGTTAAATATTGTAGAAAAAATCTCGAGATTTGATAAATGATACATATCAAAATAAAAATATTATTTTTCAATCAATCCAAAAATCCTTACCAAATTAAATTGTAACAAACTCCATTAATTTTGGTAAACATTATGTCACATTGATATGGCACATAATCTTCAAAATAAAAATTTAATTTTTGACTTTCTAATATTTTGGTAACAAATTTTATCGGATTTTGATAACAAATCTCGGATTTTGGTAACAAATTTGATTTTATTTTGATAACAAACTCCACTAATTTTGGTAAGCATTATGTCACATTGATATGACACATAATCTTCCAAATAAAAAATTAATTGTTGACTTACTAATATAAGAAATATCAATGAGTGCCACATGTCAACCAATTTAATCGGATTTTAGTAACAAATTTGATCGGATTTTGATAACAAATCTCGAATTTTGGTAACAAATTTGATCTTATTTTGATAACAAATCTCAGATTTTGGTAATAAATTTGATTTGATTGTGATAACAAATCTCGGATTGTGATAACAAATATCGGATTTTGATAACAAATCTTTTAAAGTATCGGTATTTTTGGTAACACGCTTCATAGTTATTTACACACAATATATTGCCGATAATCTTTAGATTTCTTTTGGTGACAAATTTCACAATTTTTTCGGATTGTTTAGAGTTAAATATTGCAGAAAAAATCTCGAGATTTGATAAATGATACATATCAAAATAAAAATATTATTTTTCAATCAATCCAAAAAGCCTTACCAAATTAAATTGCTACAAACTCCCTTAGTTTTGCTAAACATTACATTGATATGACACATAATCTTCAAAATAAAAAATTAATTGTTGACTTACTAATATAAACAATATCAATGGGCCCCACATGTCAACCAATTTCATTGAATTTTGGTAACAAATTTGATCGGGTTTTGATAACAAATTTCGGATTTTGGTAACAAATTTGATCTTATTTTAATAACAAATCTCGAATTTTGTTAACAAATTTGATCTGATTGTAATAACAAATCTCGAATTGTGATAACAAATCTCGAATTTTGATAACAAATCCCTTAAAATATTAGTTTTTTTTATGACACACTTCATAGTTATTTACACACAATATATTGCCGATAATTTTTGGGATTTATTTTGGTAACAAATTTCACAACTTTTTTGGATTGTTTGGAGTTAAATATTGCAAAAAAAAATCTCGAGATTTGATAAATGATACATATCAAAATAAAAAAATTATTTTTTAATCAATCCAAAAGCCTTACCAAATTAAATTGTAACAAACTCTATTAATTTTGGTAAACATTATGTCACATTGATATGATACATAATTTTCAATAATCGATAAATCCGATACACGTGTAACACGTTGCACATTTTTTGTTTTTACAAAAACGGATAAACATATTTTTTGAAGTCAATCGTAATCACATTATTTAGGAAAATAAATCCTACTCAACTTAAAAACATGACGTAAATCAATTTTGAAATTATATTTTATACCAGTATTTTATTGATTTATATAATCTACACTATCCAATTTACTAATGGTTGTTATAAATATATATGTAAAAAACAAGTAAATATTTGGATAAGGATTTGAATAATAGGATTGATAAGCATGATCTTATTTCTTAAGCTTATCCGATCTTTTTTAACTTGATATTTTGTAACTATATCTCCTCTATGGGTCTGTGTAATGGGACACGATTGGTTGTAACAAAGCACTTCACTCATGTTCTCGAGTGTAAGATACTCATTAACGATCACGCAGGTGATAAAGTGTTGATTCAAATAATAACTGTATTTCCGAATTCCTTTTAAGTTCCAGCATGGGCAGTTTCCCATTATGGTTTATTACGTCATGACTATAAATAAGAGCCTAGGACAATTATTTGCATGTGGGCTTATTTCCTAAGAAATCAGTATTTTGTCACGACCAGTTGTATATTGTTGTCTCCCGTGTCACAAACATAAATAGTTTGAAAATCTTAATTTGTGGCGACGATGACGTGTCAAATAATCAAACCATGAACGTTGTATATAAAGAAATGTTGAATAATATATAAATTTTATTTTTATTATATTTATTAATTTATTAATTATTAATTACAAGACATTTTTTTTTAATAAATACTTTAAATTTTAATTGAAAATTACTTTTTAAAAGGGACAGGAATAATAAACCTGTTTTGGGTATTATACTAGTTTGGTTTAAAAACAATGTTTACGGGAAAGCTATTAACGCGACATCGACAGAGAAACTCGCACTCTCACCTTCTTCAGACGAACCTCCTAAAGAATTAACAGACCCACCACCGTCGCCAACGCGAAACTCCACATTCCTTCCTTATCCATACGGAAATCCGTCGGCAACTCCAAGCTGATATTTGGAGAATTTCATAGATTCATTTGGTGAAATCTTCTAAGGCGAATGGCGACGGCGACTTACCCGCCGCCTCCGCCGTACTACAAGCTCTACAAAGAGTACTCTCAGGACCCCAGTTCCGCTCCGGCGCCGCCACCCCCTATCCAAGGCTCCTATGTCCTCTACGGCGCCAATTATACTGTAATTCTACAGATTATTCCCTCTCGTTTCTCCAATACATTTCGTTTCGATTAGCTACTGTGGTTGTCTCTCTAGTTAGGGTTTCCTTTTTTAGTTACGTCCTGACATGGTCGGATAGGAAAACAGATTACCATGTTTATCTGTGTATATCCTAATCTCAACGGTGAGCTCTTAGGGCCAGTTGTTATTGGGGATGAGAAAATTAGACTCGGAAAGGGGATTCAATCAACTTGACTCAGGAATTGATTGATTGAACGATCATGTGAAATAAAAAATTTGAATTGAGGATGTTAGAAATGGTTTTTCTTTTTGTTTTCTTAGTCATTAATACTAGAATAAAGGTGAAGTTGAAGGTATTAGTGGTGTAGATTATACCTTATAAACTTTGTAGTTAGAACCCAGTTAATCTGTACAATCTCAGTTCCAGATGTAAGTTTCATCTCATTGGTTAATTTTTGTAACATTCAGGATTCGCTAAATTAAGGTCACTGGCCTTTTAGTTGTAACTTGTAATAACATCATAGAAGTATGTATTTGAGATTATGTCTGGGATGAGATTATACATATATATATATACACATATATATATATATTTATTTTTGATCGGTAAGGGATGAGATTATTTTATTTTCCCTTGACAGTGTGGTGTTTGTAAAGCTAATATGAATATTGGCGTGTGTTTTATGGCATTGAGGGATCGTTTTGTGTTTATTTACCTCATCGTACGGATGGTCCGAACTTTGATATTTTTGGGTGTCAGTTGTTGTTAAGTGTTTTGATTTTCTGATGACTGCATATAATCATGAGTCCACCATTTGTGTCCCAAATATGCTATCAGACTTTCTTGTTGAGGTTATCTTTTCATATAATTTGATTTCCTTTTTAACTGGAACTTTGTGAGATGTCAAGCTGCCACTTAATTTTTTTACCATTATTTCTCCTACCTTCCATGGATGGAGTTAATCGTGGCATTTGCTCAAGAATAATTATTTGGCTTCTACATAATTGTAGCAAATTTTTTTTTAATGTTTTTGTGGATATTAGATTAGTTCTGCTTAGGATGTTGCAATTGATTTTTAGCATAGAAATGAATGAGATTTAGCTCAAAGTGTGATTTGTTCATGATTTACTCACTGCTAAGGATTTATAATGGTGTACTACAAATGCCATCATAGCTTGATGATCCTAGAATGCTTATGGAAATTCTACTATTGAACTATAAATCTTCATTTGTTTTCTTCCCAATTACCTCGATGTACTGATATTGTTAATAACGTTTTTGAAGTTACTGTTGTTGACAATTGAGTCTTATTCTCCGAAAGTAAATGAATGTGCTAATTTATATATCATGATTGGTTGAAGTGTTATGTTTTATAAAGTTGACTTACCTATTCGTGAAAGTATAGGGAGGATGAGAAGTTTTATACTGGACGTAACCTTTCATCTTTTGACCTATTTTCAGACTGATGATGTGCTTCCAGGTCTAGAAGAGCAGGGTGTTCGGCAGTTGTACCCAAAAGGGCCAAATATTGGTACAGTATACAGATGCTCATATTGTATTTGCTTTGCTATTCTTTGTGTGTGAACTGGAACTGGCATCACAAGTCACAGTCAATTAGATGCTAATTAGTCTGTCATTTTGTTTGCTCACTACAGCTTTTCTATGATATATCATTGTATACCATATTGAGATGTTTTAGTTAGACTCCCAAATTTATAATCCTAAATTTTCATGACTAGTCAAATTTTTATTACATGTCAAAAGAAGTGACAAATTAAAAAGATCTTGGAATTTTGTTCAAGAAAATAGAAATTGATGCACCTACTTATGTTTTAAATAAACAAATAAAAATGGAAAAGATTATCCTTGAGTTTTGGGGTCCGTACACCAAAAGCTAAGCTAACTTGGGAAATTATAAATCAGCTAGTTTACGTTGTTCCCGACTATTAGTTGACTTGACAATGTTTGTTGACATCATAAGATATTTCACGATTGCACCCCTCTTTTCTTCAAAATTGCAAATAGCCTCAGCATTCTGTTCCCATTTCTGTTATCTACGAAAAATGACGGGTGTAAATATAAAATGTAAACTCGAAAGTTGGGTTTCTGTAATACATTGAGGTTTTTTATTGACTAGCTTATTGAATATGCAGTTGTGCTTTGTAGTTTACTTTACTTGAACTGCATCACAACTTAAGGCGCAGCCTGAGGGTACTAGCTGTTTACCAGAGTTTTTGCTACATAAGTTTGGGCTTTATTATTCCATCTCCAAATGTTTGGACTAAATGAAGTATCACAATGACCAAGATTAGCCCCAAATGATTACATTCCCAGCACCAAACTACTGAATTTGTCACACAATTCACGACTGTGATTTTGGAAACGGGAGAGGGAAAGGGAAATGACAAATTGTAGAAGTTAAGCACATGGAATTTTTATCATTCACTGAAACCGGACTGTTACCTGAACCTATACTTATGAATTCAGAATAATAGGCTCTAATGTCTTGCGTCTTCGGCTGTGATGGTGTTTTTTCCTAAACCTGTTAATGTTGGTTCATTTCCTTACTGCCAAATTGGTACTGCTCCAGTTGCTCAATTCTGCTTATTTACACTTGAAGATGGGGAAGTACATGATCAAAATTAACCTATTTAAATGTGAATTTGAGAAAACCATAACGTTTCACAGAGAAATTTACTTATTGGCCTTTTTCTCTCTCATTTAGATTTCAAGAAGGAATTGAGATCACTCAACAGAGAATTGCAACTGCATTTTTTGGAACTTGCTGACGTCCTTGTAGAGCGACCATCTCAATATGCCAGACGAGTGGAAGAAATTTCTCTTATTTTCAAGAACATACATCACCTGCTCAATTCCATTCGGCCTCACCAGGTGAAAACTACTATGACATGCATAAAGTAGTTTTACGTCAACTGTCAATGGAAGAACATGAACTAGGGGCCTTTGTCCTGCTTTCTGATACTGTACTTTCGTGTTGTCACAGGCTAGAGCAACACTCATCCATATCCTAGAACTCCAGATACAACGACGCAAACAAGCGGTGGAGGACATTAAGAGGTAATGATACTTTCGCACACATTTGAATGGTGATTTTGGAATTATTGTTGTTTGTTCTTGTACTATACCATGGTTGAGATTTCAAAAGAAGGTCCGACCAATATCTCTCTGAAGAATATTTGGTTTAAGTTTGATTCCGAGTCAGATATTTTTCCCCAAAATACCTGTTTTCAGGACTCTATTGCAGAAATTGTGTTATTTGGTTGGCTTGCTGTACTATTTCCTCGTAGTTGTGGATAAGATTAATTACTGCATAACTTGTTACATTTAACATTATTTTGGCCTTACATATTGTTAGGTTGTGATTATGAACACAACAAAGTGAAAAGTTTTCAGCTTTTAGGTAAAGAGGATACGTTACCATTGTTAACAAATGCAAGCTTTTGCTCTCTTGTTTCTACTTCATTGTAATCAACACTTAAAGGATGGGGGAGGGGCGCATTTGGTATTTTCTGTGAATAAAAGAGAACTTTGTTTTCTTGGCATTTTCAACCTCAAAACTATTATCAAATTTAGAATGTGCATAACATTCTCGATCCATTTTGTGGTCATAGGAGAAGAGAAGAAGCACGACGACTTCTAGCGGAGGCACTTGGAACTCTTGATGGACAATAGAAATTGTCTGATTACTCAAACTCTGTTCGACGTAGAATGCTTTACCTTTGGGACATTTTTTTTGTAGCTTATTTCCTTTTTTTTTCTTTTTCGAAAAGTCATAATTTAATGGTGTTCCTGTGGTTTGAGCTATGTGACCCTGGATTTTCATGATCGTTCCTGGATGTTTTATGTGGAAAAGTTATGTTCAAAAGGCAAGAAAGTATAATGTAGCTTAAATGTCTGTGTACACCAAATTATGACAAAGTATTGAGTTGTCCTTTTTAAGGATCTGAAAATTCATTGCCCAGCATCTCAAGCTCGGGAAATTCACCGTTTTTTTGACTGTTCGATTACACACATATCCATGTGTATGAGTGTGTGATTCTACGGTAAAAAACGATCGAGGGGATTGCCTTCACTGTAGGTATTAATTTTTATTCAAACTCAAGAAGTGCTTGAATATTCTCTATGTGCCATGATTATGCAGGAAATTTACGTGCAAATGTTGCAACAACCAAGGCTTTATTAGTTTCATTTATCGAAAAGGGTAACAAAATATACTATTAGTCTAAAATACTGATTGTTGCAAGTTGCAAGTTGTTTGGTGCTAAATCATTCATAGTGCATGTTCCCCTTTAACAGTACTTACCACATGATTTTGGACCCCAAGCAAGACTGTTCATATAGTGCCACTGGGAAAAGAAAAGGCTAATTGCAGTAATAATATGATTTATCGTGGCTCCAATTAAATAATTCTGATAAAACTCAGTAATGGAATGTGACCTGATCTAGCTAAAACTTTTTTTTCTTTAGCATGATTATTGTTAGCACATATGGTTAGGCAATCGTGATTTTTCAATGAATATATACAATTTTAAATAAAATGTCATACTAGAAAAATAATGTAAAATAAAATTATAATGTTTCATATTGCAAATATGTATTCTTGTTAAAAAACATGATGAAAGAGTCTAATACAACAACTTTATGGTTTTCTATTTGCAATATATTTGGGTTGTTTCTGCTATATATATAGCATGTGCATGGTTCCTCTCATTTCACATTTACTCGTTAATTATAATCATTAATGCCACTACATTAAAAGAATTCCTTTTAACAACAATATAATATGTGAAAAAAATATAATATCTGTCAATATCAACCCACTCAAATTCTTACGTGCCTAAGAAATATTGATAATCTCGGATTGGTTGAGAAAGTTTGGAAAAAATCAGGAAAATTACAAAATAAAAAATAATTTAAATTTTGAAAAATTAAATAAAAGTTGGAAGATGTCAACATCCAATCCACCCACTTCTNATGGGGAAAAAAAAAAAAAAATCAGGAAATACAAACTCATTTATTCCAAAACACGTTTCAGTTCAATATTGTAGTAGTAATAGATACAAGTTGCAAGTTGCTAGAAGAAATAATATAAGAGAAGTTGGGTTTAGAAAGTGACCTGGTCACTAACATCATTTTCATAAATTGATAATTTGATTGGTTTCTTCTAAACGACATATCTCATTTCATTTTCAAGTCACTAATAATTTTTTATTTATATATGTAAAAAAAAGGTGTGTTATAAAATATAATGGCTATCAGCATCAACACACCTCAAGATTCCTCCTAAATAAAATAAAATAAAAAGGAAAAATAAATAAAAATTGCATAGCCCCAACTCTCAGGTTTTGACAAATGAGATACATTCATGGTTTTTTTATATTTGTCAGATTTAAAATTGCACGAATATTGTATTGTTACGTGGAAGTAGGCAAAAGATGATTGGATATGAACTAATGATATCGTATTACTAAGCAACTGATGAATAATTTTAATGAGCTATGAATAAAGTTTATTATTNAAACTTGCAGAAGTAACAGAGTGCTATATGATTAAATTAATTTGCCAATTGCCAATATTTTATTAGTATGGCCTTGTAATAAAAATTAGTTTATTTCTTTTTTGCCACAAAATAAACTACATTTAAAATAATTTATTCATATACTAATTTAGATACTGATTTATTTATTATTGTGTAGCCAAGATTTATTTGATTGAAATTGATTTTTTTTTAAGAATACTATTCATTTGTCTTTCATTTATCCACAAATCTCAGTGACACAATAAAAGAAATAAAAAATTATCATCATTACATTTTTCAATAAAAAATAATTTTCATTATGAAAGAATGAAAATAAGTGTCATATGAAAGTGATGAAGCTAGTAATATACTCACCTGATATGATGAACTCTTGAAAGAAAAATGTGCACACTACAAATGATATGAGTTCAAAGTCCTCCAAATATATGTTGAAATCAAGAAATTCAGTACTAAAAATACAGATCAGGAATCTGTTAAGATGAAGGAGAGAATCAATGATTGAAATTTGGAAAATGATATATGCATCACAGTGAAAGTGTGCAAATCATAAACTATATGATACTGATGATGATGAATTATATGAAATGATATGATAGTGGAATAATACGCTGGAAGCATTGGTATTGTGCAAATTGAAATTCCCCGAATAAGTGATGAAAGAGGGTATATTTACTATTGTTGAAATCAATTGATAATGAGATATCTCAATATACTATGGGGAATAATGGAAATGAATAAGTGTCGACACAAACAAATGAATAGCGCTATATAAATGATATTGACGAGAATGAAATCAGCTGAAATGTGAATATTGGGAACTATTGGCAGTAACACCATTGAAATCAATTGATGATGAGAATGAGTTTAAGAATAAACGTTGCACAAAGCATGATATGACATATTGTCATGAATACCATCAGTATCTGAAAATCTGAACGAATTTATATGATACTCATACAAATTATGGAAAGATTATTATGGTGAATATATGAAATACGCGTTGTACTCTTTTTCCCTTGGCTAAGGTTTTGTCCCATTGGGTTTTCTTAGCAAGATTTTTAATGAGGCAACAAGGATAGCGTATTCACATGAATAGTGTACTCTTTTTCCTTCATTAGAATTTTGTCCCACTGGGTTTTTCCTAATAAGGTTTTAACGAGGCATATTAATGGTATCATGAGCACTATTGGATAAATGATATGATTCCTCACGGTGATAAGAGAGACTGGAGTAGCTGTACTCTTTTTCCTTCGATCAAGTTTTTTCCCACTGGGTTTTCTTGACAAGGTTTTCACGAGGCAGCTCACATGGATACTCCACTAAAGATGATCTATTTGAGGGGGAGCAAAGTTGTGCTTCCACGATGATCAGGTTTTGTCCCACCGAGTTTTCCTGACGAAACAATGTTATGATTTCACGATGATCAGGTTTTATCCCACCGGGTTTTCCTGACATGTTGAAGCAACGGTACCTGATGGCCACAAGATACACTTGAAGATGTACAGATTGGGTTTTATTCAAATTAGTTGAAATATGTTTAGAAAATAGTCATTCAAGGGGGAGTGTTATGAAATAATAAAATAATGTATGTGAATGACTATTTTGCCCTCGATGTATTTGTATTATTACGAGTTGTGCCATCAGAAGTTTTCTATAAATAGGACCTTCAGTTATAATGAAAATCGTACCTAAGAGAGTACATTTTCTCTATTTTCTCTCTTTCTCTCTAGTTTTATAACAATCATTATATTTTTCAATAAAAAGTAATTTTCATTTACTTGCATATTCTAACTACTAATATTATCAATTGATATTTTATTATTTTTATATCATAACAATTTTAATCGCATTTTTATCTCATATTCGTTCTATCAATTTATCTTAGTTTTTTCAAATTAATATTGTTCAGTTTTCCATCTCACTTTTTCTAACGGGACAACAATTTTCAAAAAATCTTGTACCAATCCCACTCTATCAAGCACTTCAATGGAATATTTCCACAATCTCAAATTATCTTAATTTTTTTAAAATATTATTTTTCAGTTTTCCATCTCACCTTTTCAAACGGGACAAAATTTTTCAGAAAATCTTGTATCAATCCCACTCTAACAAGCACTTCAATGGAATATTTGCACGCACTAGAATATGAATAAATTTAAATGATTTTCAAAAATCACTTACAGGTGTTTTACATTTACTCTGCTCCAATCAAAATCCCAAAATTAATGGGAATAAATTTTTGGAGAAGTGTTTTATTTTTTTTTTAAAAAAATATGAGTTTAATGATTATAAATAACTTTTTTATAACTAATATAATTCATCTCTTAAATAAACTACGAGCCCTCACAAACATCCCCTACATACAGAGGTTCCTAATTGATGATTTCTCATCACATAATTGATGTCAACACAAAGTTGGACATTTTAAAATGATTAGGATTAATATTAGAAAAAAGGGAAAAAAAAGTATAATTAATAATCTAGCCAATAAGCTCAATTATTTAGGGGCTAATTAAGTGCTAATGACCATACACGTAGCTTTCCTGCATTGGACAAACCGTGTGGGGGGGGCCCACACAAAAAATAGCGACAAATTTAATTGGGGGCCATTTGGGCATTATCTATTTATCTGCAGCTACGAACTCAACATTGGCGTGTCGCTTTGTGGGATGCAAAAATGCCACCCGAGATGTGATGTAATTACACTCTATGCCATTCACTGTTACATTTGACTTTTGCTGACAAGACTCCTTCTTTCTTCTCT